GGAATGCCGCCAGAACAGAGGAGCTGGTAGCCTTTGTAAAAATGTCTGCAAGCTGATCGGAACTTCTCGTGAACATAGTGCAGATAATACCTTGTTGAATCTTCTCCCGTATGAAATGGCAGTCGACCTCAATGTGCTTGGTTCGTTCATGATAAACCGAGTTTGCAGCAATATGAATGGCAGCTTGGTTATCACAGTGTAGAGGCATTGGTGTCGAGTTGGGACAGCCGAGATCACCGAGGAGACTCTTCAGCCACAACATTTCCGAAACTGTATGAGCCATTGACCTATACTCTGCTTCAGCACTTGATCTGGAAACGACATGTTGCTTCTTGCTCTTCCAAGTTACGAGATTGCCTCCCACAAAAGTGCAGTAGCCGGAAGTGGATTTGCGGTCTCTGCGATCTCCTGCCCAGTCAGCGTCGCTGTAGCCTGCAATTCCCGTGTCGTTGTTTTGCAGCATCCAGAGGCCATGACTCGCTGTACCTTTAAGATACTGTAGAATTTTGTCCACCATTCGCCAGTGATGAATCGTGGGTTTGTGCATCCATTGAGAGACCTGGTTAACAGCATAACATATGTCAGGTCTAGTTATGGTTAAGTATATCAATTTACCTACTGCTCTTCGGTATTGTTCAATGTCGGTGAATGCTTCCCCCTCGTAGCAGTCTTTGTAAGCAGTCTCGAGTGGTGTCTTGGCAGGTTTTACAGCGAGCTTTCCTGTGTCACGAAGTAAGTCAAGTGTGTATTTTCTCTGTGACAAGAACAAAGAGTTAGAAGAACGTATGATTTCGATGCCAAGGAAATAATGTAAGATGCCGAGATCTGTAATCTCAAATGTGGACTGCAGAAACATCTTTGTTTCAGCAATGCCAATAGAGTCATCTCCAGTCAAGACAATGTCATCGACATATATCAGTAAGACAATGATACCCATACTCGTGCGGCATAGAAACAGAGAATGATCCGACTCAGAACATCGGAAACCATGATCTGTTAAAGCCTGATGGAGTTTTAGATACCAAGCACGAGGGGACTGCTTCAGACCGTATAACGATTTGCGTAACCGACAGACTTTGTTTGGAGGAAGAGTATCGCGGAGTCTAGGAGGTGGATCCATGTATATTTCTTCAGCAAGGTCGCCATGGAGAAAAGCGTTCTTGACATCTAGCTGCCGAAGTTGCCAATTCAAATTAGTGGCTAATGAGAGAATAACTCGAAACGATTTTAAATTTGCAACAGGCGCAAAAGTGTCACTGTAATCTTCCCCGAATGTTTGTGTATATCCTTTGGCAACAAGACGTGCCTTGTAGCGTTCTATGTCACCATTGCTGCGTCGTTTAATCTTGAATATCCATTTACTGCGGACTGGTTGTTTATAAGGTGGTAAATCAGTGATTTCCCAAGTTCCATTCTTCTCAAGTGCAGAAATCTCGGCTGCCATGGCATCTCGCCATTCTTGTTTCTTCTTGGCTTGGGTGTAGCAAGTAGGTTCAATGTCCTGATCGATCTTGCTAAGGAAAGACAGTTCATGAGCAGGTAAATGTGTAATAGAATAGCAAGATTGGATCGGATATTGAACCTCATTTAAAGCGATATCATTTGCTTGTGGAAGAAACAAAATTGTACTGGTTGCAGTGTGAGCATGAGCCCGGTGACCAGCCAGTTTCTGTGCAGGAGTCTGGATTCCAGCCGCCTCACGTTGAATTGCCTTAGCATGGAGACGGTCACTGCGTCTCAGTGTAGGTACAGGTTCAGGGGCAGGAAGAGGTATAGGTTCTACAGGAGGTGTTGGTGAAGAACCTGGCAGTTCCGCTTGGAATTCAGCTGGAGGCGGGGAAGAAGTACCTGCATCTGAAGAATCAGCAATAGGGACTGAAAATTCAGAAGAGACGGATACCTCTGGCGACAGATGTGGCTGTGCAGGAGAAGAAGATGTTGGTGCATGTTCTTGAGAAGGCAAGGTACTTGGTGTGTAGTGAAGAGCTTCTGCGAGGAGCCGCATGACAGAACCATTGTAGGATGAAACAGGGGATGATTGAGAATGGGACGAAGTCGTATTTTCGGATAGAAAATAGCTTTGCTCTTCGAGGAATCTGACATTTCTTGATGTATAAACTCGACGTGTTGGAGGATGGAAACATTTGTAGCCTTTCTGATTCTGTGGGTAGCCTAAGAAAATGCACTTGATTCCCTTCGGATCCAACTTGTTTTTCTGTTCATCTGGGATAAGAGGGTAACAAACACACCCGAAAATGCGTAAGTGATCAATGGTCGGGGTTGTGTTGTTGAGTACCTCGTAGGGAGAGAGATCGTGCAGAATTTTGGTGGGGATTCGGTTGATGGTGTAGCTCGCAAAGGCAACTGCATCACTCCAATATGGTTTTGGAACGTTCCGAGCAAACATGATAGTTCGGGCGACCTCGAGAAGATGGCGATTCTTCCTTTCTGCAACACCGTTTTGTTGCGGCGTGTAAGGGCACGTAAGCTGATGGATAATGCCATGTGAGTCTGTAAACTCCCGAAACCTGGTACTTACATATTCACCACCATTGTCAGAACGTAATGTTTTTATTTTGGCATTGAATTGAGTTAGAATATAAGAATGAAAGCGTTTAAAGACATCGAAAACATCAGCTTTAGAGGTCAGAAAATAAATCCATGTATATTTAGATCTATCATCAATGAAAGTTAAAAAATATTTATAATGATCATGAGAATGGCAGGGAGAAGTCCAAAGATCTGAATGTATCAGATCAAAACACGACTGAGACATTGTAGATGAGGTGGGAAATACAGCATGACAGTGTTTTCCAAGAATGCAAGGTTCACAAACTTTATTATCAAATCGAGTTTTTGGAAAGAGTAAACGTAAAGCTGTTGGATGACAGTGGCCTAATCGGCCATGCCATACAGCTGGAGATATTATTTCAGAAGCAGAAAAGACAGACTGCGAAGCTGGAAAATGATCATCAAAGATGTAAAGGTTGTCCCGCTTGATGCCTTTGCCAAGGACAGTCCCACTCTCAATATCCTGAAATATAACTTCATTAGCATGAAATGTAACAGAACAAGTTGGGTAATCTGAAGTTAGTTTCGAAATAGAGAGAAGATTCGTGTGAAAATCTGGAACGTGGAATGCATCAAAGGATTTATGAAACAGGTTCAAGATTCCTTTCCCTTTGATAGGTACATGATGGCCATTTGCTACTGTCACCATGCCATATATGCGTTTCAATTTTTGTAAGAGATTTTGATTACTAATCATGTGACTAGTAGCGCCGGAGTCAATAATAAGAGATTGTAATGGAGGAGAGAATTGAGAAGAGATGTTACCGTTCTCCTTGTCTTTCAAGGAAAGGAGGATCTGTTTCAATTCAGACATATCCGATGGAGTGAGGGTGACAGATTCCGCTGTGTGTGCTTTCGCCCGAGCAGAGTGATGATCTTTGAACTTTGCTGGTTTGAGATGAGGATGAAACAGCCAGCAGCGTTCACGAGAATGTCCCGAGCGTTTGCAGTGGTCACAGTAGTAGTTGCGTTTTTCTTTTGGGGCATAGGTGGGATGAATGATCTGGCGAAAATGAGCCACTTCACTAGGGCCACCAAATACATTTCTTCCTCCTTCCTCTCTTTTGATCAGCATACAAATGTCATCATAAGGAGATAGTTTGTCTTGTCGAAGAATGTGGTATATAAGGTCGTTGTAGGTGGCATCAAGGGTAAGGAGAATGGAGAAGATTTTATCCTCTTCCATTCGTTTCTTGAAGCTTTCAACATCGACAGATGGAGGACGAAGATCTTCCAGTTCAGTCCATAGAGCAACAAATTCTCCATGAATTATGTTGAACGGCTTTCCATCTTGCTGCAAGTTAGTCATTTTTTTCTTAATTTCGAAAACTCGACAAAGGTTTGATAGATTACCATAAACCTTTTCCAGTGCATCCCACAACGCTTTGGCCGTTTCCGGTGCGATGAAGGATTTTAAGAGATGTTCATCCAATGAGCTTTGCATGATTGTCAGGGCTAGTTGATCCTCTTGATTCCATTTGGTTCTGGCAATGTTGTGGTCGACCACTGGAGTTTGTGTCTCCGGGTTTGTTGGGGCTGTTGCAGTTGGTGTTGGCGTCCATTCGGATTGAAGGATATGTTGCCACAGACCTTTGCTTTTGAGAACAGCCTTTGCGGCTTTCGACCAGTAAAAGTAATTCTCACCATGGAGAACAACCGGAATTAGCTTGGCTTGGGATTCCATGTCTCAATGACAGAAATGGCCAACTAAACAGATGGAACAAGTTTCCGGGAA